TGTGTGTGTGTGTGTGTGTGTGTGCGTGTGTGTGTGTGTATGTTTGCATAATAAAGGTAATTAATCATGTCTAAATATCATATTTTATGGGTAAAGGTTTAGATGGCTCCGATAGTGTGTCTATATTATTGTACAAACAACGATGTTCAAACATGTCTCGCGTCTCGGCAGGTGGTGAACGGCCTCCTGTTCACCGTGACCGACGTAACTTTCTACGGCTCCTCTTGCTCCAGAACCCCTACCGACAGGACGACATGCTCTGTGGCCGCTGATGCTTCCTTGGTAAGTTATGACAGAAACTGAATCGATAGTGCGTGAAACACCTACTCAAACACACAAAATAGTACTTTATTCACATACAAGTGGGTGGTTGGCGGGTGCTCTGGTGTGGCTTGCTCCTTCTTTCCAATCATACATCTATTACTATCTTGTTACACCTCTAATCTTCGGCACTAAAATGACCTTATTGTGTTCCAAGTGTCGTAAAACATTTACTAAAGCTAAGAAACACTTATGGGCGACGATGCTGACACACCTGGGACAAACCAAAACAAACGTCCATCTGATGTATGTTCATATCATTACACACTGACAATTGCAATAAAGTACGTATCGAGGTCATGCGAGCTGTGGGTGAGAATGTTTCTGTATAATCTATATCAGGTATCTGGGAATAACTCTTAGCCACAAATCTAGCTTTATATTGGGCTTCATTTGATTGGCCTTCTTTGATAATAACCCCCCCCCAACTGCTTCCCTGCCTGGAGGTAAAGGAGTCAATTGAAAAGTATCCTTCTCTTCCAGAGTACGCATTTCCCCTTGCATTGCATTTTGCCATTTGTCGGCTGCAACACAGGAAATAGCTTCTTTGTATGATTTTGGTACATCATGAATTGCATAGCAATAATGAGTTGTTGTGACATTCAAATAATGATCAATCTCATCATCAACATAATAGTCATTCAAATGTTTAGGCTTAGTGATTGATCTTTTTGGCCTATTCTTACCATCTTGACTGTTACCAGTGTCTGAAACAATATCTGACTGACTATTACTAGATCTAGCCACAGATTCATCTTGATAATTTTCTATCTCATGGTTTGTTGATTCAACATTGTTAACAGCTGGGGATACATCACTCAAAGTTTGTTTAGTCAAAGGGATAGGAATGAAGTCTTCTTCATAGGTGACATGAAAAGGTACATTGCCGTTCTCATCCTTCACATCCACTTTCAAACTTCTTCTAAACTTGACAATTCTCACTTTCTTAATCTTTTGAGTTTGATGAAAATAAACCAAATTAACGTAGTAATAGATCTGCGGCGATGAAACTTCTTCGCACTTACATGACTCGAAAGTGCCATAAAACACTTACTCAATCTTTCAATCAATCAATCAATCAATCAATAAATCAATCAATCAATCAATCTATATATCAATCATTCATTTACACACTACTGCTTACATGAGTACATGTACGCACATACACATGTCTGCATCCATGTACGCATATAAACATATGACCGCATATATACACAGACATATGTACTCATACATTCACGTACATACACATATTATCCACGCTCATATACGAACGCATACACGCGCATATACAGGAACATATACTCACAATTACACACACACACACACACACACACACACACACACACACACACGCACGCACGCACGCA